TTCAAACACCATGGATAATCAGAGATGGGCAGCAATTCCTGTCTGCTTTACTCACGTTAGTCAAGGATGAACATATCTCAGTGATGGGTGTAACATGACCTGGTGATGTGTTATGATATTGTATTTTGTCAATCAACCAACACCTGGCAGTTTCTGGAATTGTACATCAGGTCCATGGTAGGAAGAGCCTCAACATCACAGTCATCTAGCATGGTATAGGCTCACAGGTCGTACAGTGCAGATTTAAGACTAATTATACCTGGTCAGGCACCACTTGCCACAAAGTGGGATCCAAATATGAGAGAAATGCCCCTGCAAAGAAAAAGAATAGATTACCTACTACACACAGAGAAACAGGAGTGCAACATGGCAACTGGAGGAAGACAATATTACCCAGAACAAGAAACAGCCAATTAGTGAAGATAATAAGCAGTAAAATAATGGGGGAGTGGTCCACATACTGACACCAAAGAAATCCTCAAATGGATGAAGGAAATGAGCAGCCAGGAACAGGATGAGGTGATGAATATAAAGTAGAATGCTCAGAAGAGACAAGATTATTCTAGAGAAAGGAAAAAATAAGCCAGGTGAATCTACTGACAAATCCTATCATAAAGGGAATTGGATAATGGTCACAGTACTGGGAAGGATTCCAAGGAACAAACAACGGGAGTAGTCACCATGGAAGGAATCAGTGTGTGCCCCATCATAGGAATATGAAGGCTGAGGTCCAACACAGAAGGACCACACCAGAAGTCACGTAACTGAATGCCCACTTGCCTGAAGATGTATGACACTAGAGATGAGTAGCTGAAAAACACTACAACTGACCGTCCCTGTAGGACCAGAAGGAAGTGAACCTGAGCCCAACGAACTTCTAGGAGCCCACAGTGATGGAAAGGTGAGAGGAATCCAAGAGAGACCACCACCAACCTGAAACCTCCTAAACACCCAGAAAATCACCCCAATTATAAAGGCGAGCACCTGGAAAAAGAGACATTATGGAGAGGAGGAACACCCAAAAAAGTACTGACCTGATCCAACCAAACAAGTCAGTCAAGAAGGATGGATGGATGAAAAGAGCCTCCAAGGGATCCCAAATGAGGCTCCATTGGACCAACAAACCCATGAATGACAACACACAAGGACATGACCAATAGGGATAAAGGCTTCCCAAAAAGCCTCATGCAAAATAGAAGTAGAGGAGTAGAAGTTACAAACCAGAATCACCCTAGTCCTATTCCAAAAAGGGAGAAGACTGGGCCTGGCTGAGTAGGAAATAAAACAACACCCCAAGATGAACAAGGTATTGTATGGGAGTAAAGAAAAAACGTTTCTACCTTCACCAACCAACTAGAGCCTCTACTCCTAAAAGAAAAGAGGAATAAAGGCAGGATTGGCTTGTGAGGAAACCAGACAACATCACCATGATGGCCCCTTGAAAGGAACAAGACAGACAAAATCCTGGACCATCCAAATTATAAGAAGTCGAGAAAACATCCAACAGAAGAGTTTGGACTGAAAACACACAACCCCTATGGACCCAAAGAAGGAAACCAGAATGCAAGGGAGTAATTAATGAGGAGGAACGAATCTGACAGAACACCCTCGTCCTCCAAAAATCAGGAAGGAAAACCCAATAAAGGGCTAATTACAACCTTATGGTTAAATGTAGAATGACTAATAAATGGGTCAGAACCGACTGAATAGTGATAGAGTGCCCATCCCTCAGCTTCAAGGGGACAACAAACAGGTGGGAATAAGAACTCCAAACATAGGGATCACTCCAGATGATGGCACTCTTGCAAAGCAAATCCCAATTCACCTCCTAAAAACTCTGGCAGGAAACTGAAATCTGAGGAGGAGGGAAATTTAAAAAAAGACCAGACCAAACGTGATCACCTCATCATCCAAAGTTCTCCAAACTTGGGCAAAGCAGTTGAAAGCACTGTTGTACCATGTCTAATGGAGTAAGAATGTGTGTGTGTATATTGTAGAGCAATGCCACACTAGGCCAATTGCCGCTTTCACTGTGTGCAATCGAACCCTGAACCCTAGTGCTGAAAGTCCATATACATAACATCATCCCACTGAGGGGACATGACCTCAGCCACCACTGGGCCCGAAGTCACCATGACCACAAACTGCCCCAAAAACAGTGTCCCAAGGACCAACGATGAACTGCAAACACTCAGAAGGCCAGAACCAACCAGGGGTAGGAATGAGGACAATAGTGTGTGTGAGATAGAAGGAAGGCCAAGTGAAGTTAAGTGACAGGGCTGAGCTCCAAAGATTTGGGAATGCTCCCCCCCCCAAATCTCATGGTACCAAACAAAAGTGCCATACTCAAAGCCAAATTAAGGGGTTTAATCCCCACCAAGGGACAGCTATACCACACTATGTAAGCCTAAGGAGGGAAGTCAGAATGATGACATGCCAGAGCAAGGTCATTCCACAGTATGTAGGAGTCAAGGTATGCATCCCCCCGACTTTAATTGGTCCCCAAAACTACACTCAGGGCCCCACTAACCCAAGGGATTCAGGAAACACTAAAACTGACCCCACAGCTCATCACAGAGAAGGGCAAGAATATAATGGAAAGAAACAGGAGGTAATGATAAAACATATCCTACCTGATTTAATAAGTCTATAAAAAGAAAGGAGGCCTGGACAGCTCTCCAGAAACAACATGTAACTAGGAGTCATAAGCAGAAAGAGGAACTAAGCAGCTCAAATCCTCATCATCATGTACAGGCAAAGCAGTACAAGTACAAGAGGACAGGTGCTCAGAAGTCTACAAAAATTTAGCCAATATCAGCAAACCAGCTGTGACATCCCGAACCCAAAACGTGCTCAGACAAATCTGCTGTAGTAGTTACAGCCACTGAGGTAGAAGCAATGTGGAATTGCATGAATATGATGAATGGAGTTGACTGGAAAAAAAAGGAGAGAGAGAGAGAAGTGTAACTCCACAAGAATTCTCAAAACTGTACAAATTAGATAAATTTATGGGCAAGAGAAAAAAATTATATATATACACATGGCCAAAAAATGAAACTGTAAACTTTGGCAATTAAGTGAAAAAAAAATCAGTCTAAAAACATGAACAAAAACACATCTGAGCTGTAAGACTGCTGATCAAGAAGTGGATAACAGCTGCAAAATTAGAGAGGGTGCTAGTTATGATAGTGTCGCACTCCTACTGGTGGAAGGTTGCTACATAATCATTTGCATGTTAGTATGCAGATATCTCATGTTAACATATGTGTGGGTAAGTGAGAGTATCGAGGCAAGAGTGAAAACTTTTGCTGACAGAAGGGCAGTACAAGTCGAGAAAGCTTTTTGTGAAAGGAGGTAAGATATCGTTTCGGAAGTGTTTTGTATTTACCAAATAAAATGCCCGATGTTTTGAAACCCACTGACTACACAGTAGTGAGTTTTAATATTAACAGTCAAACTAGACATGACGACAGCAAACACACAAATAGAAGTTTATAAATATTGAAAATTTGTGTCCCAAATCATACTTATTCACATTCACTAAGTTGCTCAGTTTTTTCCAAATCCTTCATCTTATACTTACAATCCATCAGACTTTTTCTGAACTACTTTCTTTATTTTTTCATAGTTTATTTTCATTATTCTTCTACTTTAACAAAACAAGAATCACAATTATCATTTTGATAACCACAAAGCCACAAAATGGGCTATCTGTGCTCTGCCCACTATAGATATTGAAACTCATGTGGTGTATACACTTGATATTGTTTATTAAACCTTTTCAGATGGGTCATGGGTGAAAGGTCATGTCATCTCTTTCTTTCAAACCAAAATTTTAAGGAGGTATGTTTTGTGTTTAGTCTGCTTGAAATTTCATTTTTTTAGACTGAAATACAGTTTAGTTTACTAAGCCTGATAAATTATAGTGGAATTCTATGGTATTTATATAATAGTTTATGATTTTTTAGTTATTCAAATGTATATATAAAACCTAAACAAAATATTTTGTTTCATATCCTCCACGTGCAAATTTTTTAAAGGCTTGGCAGCCTATGTCAAGCAGCAACCGAGTACGAAGGTCATAACCAGAAGAGATAATTGTTTGCTTTACTTCTTTATTTACTGTTTCTATGTTTTAAGAAAAATAAGTTTAAGAACTTATTTCTAAATTGCAATAATCTATGTACATATATAATGTATAATACTTGAAATATGACTATTTTACAAAATACTAGTCTACTAAAACACAGCCAAAACAGGTCACTTTGTAAAGACTAAAGGTCAGTTATATATTATTGGATACGGTAACATGAGTGCACATGTGCATCTTTGTAACTTAAATATTGTTAGCCAGGCATGGCTGAACGGTCAATATCATAAAAATAATAAATATATATATAAATGTATAATGCTATGTGATTTAAGCTATTTAGTCTAAACATTTATGTTTTCTTGTTATAATATGTTGTCAT